TATAATTAATATATCCTTCTTCTATTCCTTTTTGGACCTATTTAAGCACTATTTTTATGCTAATTTTATGGATCCGTGTTACTGTATGTTAAATTAGAGCAGGATATTATGACCTTTGAAGCTCGCTTACAGCAGCAGGTTTGCTTTAATCTAAATTCTATATTGCTTTGTTGATACATAAAAACTCTATTATAAGTATAAAATATATCTAATCTCTAAGTATATCTTCAAAGTTGAATTTTGTAACTCATATTCACCTTAATGATCTTTGGTGATGATTTTACTTTTATTTTCACCTTCCCTACTTCTACAGGGCAATTTGAGCTTGGAATCAATAACTCTAGATGGGTATTTAGTTACACCAAATCATGAGAGTTATTATTGCACTTAGTCTACCCTTCATGGTCTAGTATGTTCGTTATTTTGTGATTATTTTGTGATTACTTTGTTTATCTTAGTGTATAATTAAAATTTGACTGTTATTTTAGTTTGTTATTTGTGGGACCCTTGTATATGTTGTCTATATACAATTGGTTGAAAACCCATGGATCCACCAAATCATTGAAAGCTTGTTAATTAACAAGCTCTTTGAAAAAGCTCATCCAAACATCTTCAGTTTTCTTGAGTTTTTTTTTTCACATGAAAAAAGCTCCTATTGTGATGTTCTTATTAACTAGTTATTTGGTTTCATTTCATAGATTTTTTAGTAAATATCATATATGCTTAATAAATTTGGAACCAGTTAACAGTTAACAGGCTAACTTTAATTAATATACACTAACAGAGACAATGACATGTTTAAAGAGAAACATGACAATCTAATAAACAAAAGATAATTTATATTATAGCAAAATTTTTTGAAGGTAGTGTTCAAAGTAAACAGTTCATTTTGATATTTACATTTCTACACTATACTTAAGAGTATTACTTTGATGGAAGATGATAGACACATCCACAAGAGACTTGTGCTTTTGTTTTGATGAAACAATATAGTTTTTGATTAAAGTGAAAAACTAAAAATACACAGTTAATATATAAGAAATAGGGAATATTAATGTGTGAGGAAAGCCTAAATCTTCGGGTTTGTGACCTTATTAAAGAAACTTATGTCCTCATATCCGCCTCAACAGCTACCCAACACCCTTGTGCGAAACACTAATCGGCCATTTGAGTTAAGAGAGAGTGATAGAGCTAATATTTGAGTGTTTCGGTGAATCATTGAAAGTGAAGAAGTGAGATTCAAACAAGGAACAAGGAAAGGCTATGAGATCCAGTATTCATTCACTTGGAGCTTCTATTGAAAGGTAAAAGTCATAACCATGCTCATCATGTTGTTTAGATCTTGTTAATGAGAAACTTTTGGGCTTTTCCCAAATTTCCTTGGGATTTGGTATGACTTGTGCTTGCCAAGCATTGAAACATCCGATCTGGACCATGAGAGGTCCATAGAGTCCAAACGTCCCAGCTTTATCTAGCCATAAAAGAGTTATTGTGCTTAAACACCTTACTTAGAGCATGTATTGGAATTATGGAACAAATATTCCATGCATGAACGTAATGATCGAAGATTTACATGACATTCGACCATTGGGAGGCTACATCTAGGGTTTGGAGTGGCAGATCTGCCAAGAGGTCAAATGATGATTCACAATACTCAATACAAGATATCACAATACTCAATATAACAATATATCGCAATACTCAATATAACTTATAAGACCCTCCGGTTACAAAATAATTACCACTCTAGGTAAAGTATAATGAGAAGCCTCATCTTGTAAGCAAGCAAGTAATAATCTCATAGGTGAATCTCGAACTAGCCTCCGCCTTACACATTTAATATTAATCTCTAATCAACACATAAATCACGACTCGAAATAAAAGTAGGTTATTCTCTCTCTCAAACTATTGGAATGGGTAAAAGAACATTTTATCCCTCCATGGTCCCCATACTCCCTACCTTGACCAAACCCTAAGGACAACAAAATGCAACACTCGAGTCAACTGTCCATGTTGACCTGACTTGCCGAGTCCATCTGTTTGACTTGTCGAGTCCCCCTTGCGCCTTCAGAACACCACAAAAACTGAACTCAACTCGTCGAGTTGTCCCGTCAACTCGCCGAGTTACCCATGTCCAAACTCATCGGGGAAAAACCTAGCCAACTCGTTGAGTAAGCTCTTTGACTCGTCGAGTCCCTTAAATCAAATTTCAATTCAGACATTGTAAGGCAGATCTACCACTCCAAACCCTAGATCTACCACTCCAAACCCAAGGGTCTTATAAGATATCTTTATCAGGTGATCATTGACAGATAAAGAGTTGAAATCATTTGGTAGCATGGTGATTCCCAAGAGGTCAAATGATGCATTCAGCAACAAGATCTTTACTTCACCTGCATTCAGATTATAAAAGACATACTTAAAAACTTATTTAAAATAACTTGACAAGTATTTAATTTAAAAACCTAGCTAAAATTCTTTTTCTTTCTCATATTCTCTTACATTTTCATCTATTATTTCAAATCTATGGTTGTGTTATCTGTTCATCCTTTATTTTTACATGTTTAGGATGCAGGAGTACATGCTCTATCAAATGTTTGTCATGTATATGTAGAATAAATAAGCAAAACAAAACAAGTGAATTGGTAACTTCCGTATAAAATTAGATTTTGTTTCTATGTTTTTCTCTCCATTTCACTTGTAATGAAGCTTGAATTCATCAAAATTTGCAAGTGCAACCTCATGAAGCTTCTCTGGTGAAGAAAGTTGGCAGCCATTTCTTACAAAGGGATGAAGGTGATATAACGATTATTGATGTTCGATGTATTGTCATTGATTTTCATGTTGGATATAAAGTTAAGTATCAATAATTACACTATCAAAATTTATTATGTTAACATCATTAAGGTTGTAATCTTGCGAAGATAAAGGTGTAAGGGTCTTTTTGTCTTTTAATCATAATGTGTCCATGTTCAAACTAATGAAAACAATGCCCTTGATGAGTGATGATCAACAAGTGCATTTCACTAAGTTTGCCGGGAAACAAAACAGCTTATTCAAATTAAGGCTGAAATATGTGCTTATTAATTTAATAAATTTTAAAATTAATCGTTATGTTAGGATGAATACTAATCGACTAAATCAAAAGTCAAAGTTGTTAGAGTTGCAGTTGAAACTAAAGGTTTGTGTCTCTTATAATTCTATTTAGGTTTTTTAAATCCATACTTTACGCATATCCATAGTAGGTGGGCTTAAACCTGCCCAACTGCTATTAAACATATAGCCATCTCTCTCAACAAAATTCGGGTATATGATTTAGAAGCCTCCCTAATGTTTCATTTGGCATATATAAAAGGATGGCTTGGATAACTCGATATGTACTTCGTCAAATCCACAGATGTAGCTTCGTTTGAAAATGTTGAAAAGATATGCATTTGATATATTAATTGATGACTCACTCCCAAAATCATATCCATGTACTGTGTTTCTTTCTAATTTTTTGTAAGCACTACAATCTATTTCATTACAACTTTTTTTTTTAATGTAGGAAGAAGTGGGACAACTAATAGAGATGGTAAATATAAAATCTCACGATACCCTTGCTTCGTTATTACTCAAATTCTACAAATTCTTGTATATTTGCTGCCATTTTATTAGATTTTTTTTTTTTTTTTTCAATCTGAAGCCGCTATGGTGTTGCAAGTTTGGACCACAAAGAGCCCAAGTCACATGTATTCTTTAGTATCACAATTATAGCCATACTTTTTGTATTTTCAATCATTTCAATTAAATTTATAATCTTGATTGTCTAAAATAATTGATCCATTGGGAATAGAACTTCCTTCGGGAACCTTTAGTTAACCCATAATTGCAAGTGATGGTATATATGTTTTATGTAGTTTCTGTAGAAAGAAAACTACAATCACATTTGTTGGTGATGTTTTGTTAACAGTTTGAATGACTAATATTAGGAGTCATTTTTAGTTAATGATTGGAAGCCTTCCACTTTATTTCTTTTAAAAAAAAAGAATCTTATGTTTATGTTATCTTCAGAGAAAACTTATGACAGCATTCTAAATTTTAGCGCGGAAAAGGCCCTTTGACTCACTTCGACTCACTTGTAGAGGCAGAAACGAATTCATTGATATCATGAACAAATGTAGATCCAAGGTATATGAGTGTTTTAGTTATACTGATTACATGACATACATATGTTGACGTTGTGGGCCTGTTTCTTTGGTAAGATAGGACGTACCTTAATGTTACATTAACTTTTCAAAAAGTTGAAGACGATAATGTTTTCCATTTCTTATGTTGTATGCTCATTGTATGCAATAAATAAAAAAACATAAATAAAAACTTTCCGGTAGACGGTCACATCAATTGCATCATTTGTTAGAATGTTATTCATGTGACAATTCTTTTTTATTATATACTGTGTCAACTTGCAATATGATATAATAGCATGCGCTGATTCCTGTATATTCATCAATAATTAAATTAAGTACAACATAAAAGAAACAAAACTTCTAACCTATGTGTAGCATGGACACTTCTACTAATTAGAATACAATATATGTCGCCTAAATGAGATGTCATTTATTAAAAAAATTTATATCACATCAATTTAAAATTAATGAGATGTCATATATTAAAAAATTAGTATCACATCAGTTCGTAATTATTGGGCATTAAAAAATAGCAGGGTTCCTACTCCAAATAAAAAACAGCATCGTGCCTTCAAATTTCCTCCTTTTTTCTTCTTTTTTTCACATACGCGATTATATAAACAAACCTCTCTCTCTCTCTCTCTCTCTCTCTCTCTCTCTCTCTCTCTCTCTCTCTCTCTCTCTCACGTAGATTGGCAGGTGAAGAAGACGTTCAGATCTGTTTATATAAACAAACCACAAAGCTACATCTTCCATAACCATACATAACTACTAATATCAAAAAAAAAAAAAAAAAAAAAAAAAAAAAAAAAAAAAAAAAAAAAAAAAAACATGTCTTCATCAGCAGCAAACCTACAAACGTATCAAATTCCACTGGAAGATATTCGTCAGGCCACAAACAATTTCGATTCAAAATATCAGATAGGAGATGGTGGTTATGGTATTGTTTACATAGGACAACTCACGATATGGTCAGAGGAGCTCAGTGTAGCCATCAAACGCCTTAATAAAGATGGTCATCAAGGAAGCGACGAGTTCTACAAAGAACTTGAAATGGTTCCCACTTTCAATCATCCCAACATAATCTCTTTCATCGGTTACTGTGAAGAGGCAGGAGAAATGATTATAGTTTATGAATACGCTGCCAATGGAAGTCTCGATAGACACATCCAAATAACGTCTAAAAGGCGCCACTTATCATGGGGACAACGGCTAAAGATTTGCTTAGGAGCAGCAAAAGGACTCGACTACCTTCATTCCGCCATTGACGATGATAGAAGAGTAATTCATAGAGACGTCAAGAGTGGGAATATACTATTAGATGACAATTTGGAAGCAAAAATTTCTGATTTTGGTTTATCAAGATATGGTCCAGTAAATCAAAAAGAAACGAAACTCGTTACACCAGCTGCAGGTACAAACTATTACATCGATCCAGTTTATGCTCAAAGAGGTAGGCTCTCGAAAGAGTCTGACGTGTACTCATTTGGAGTTGTGCTATTTGAAATGTCGAGTGGGATGCTATGTTATAATCGAAAGCGTTTTGGAAATGCTAAGGAACAATATCTACTGGACCTAGTTAGATGTTACTATGATGAGCAAGAAGATGATGGGCTTAACAAGTTAATTGATCCTATTATAAAAGGGCATATTGATATGGCGTCTTTTCATATGTTTAACGAAATAGCACATGAGTGCATTAACCTTGACGTAACAAAACGTCCCACGATGAAAAGGATAATCGACAGGATACAGGAAGCATTGAATATTCAAGTAAGTCTTTTCATTTTAACAGAATTTTTGGATGTTTTGTTTACATTTAATTATTATAAAAGAGTATATATTTTCATATAAAAACAAAACCTACGATGGACCATATTATTTGATACGTACGTTGCTCAATATTATATATTGGACGGCCCTAGCAGTATAATTATTGATTATTATTTTTTAATTATCGAGCTTCTTTTTTAAACATAATGTTGGATTTAATTATGCGTTTGAAAGCTTATCTTCTCAAACTTTTTGTAAGATCTTGAAATAAAGAATTAGCTCTTTAAATCTTTAAATAGAACATGCACAATGCGTACAAATTAACATTATGTCACACATTCTTCACGTTTCTACGTAAAATATATAGATACCTATACCTATATAAAGCAACTCAATTTTTTGCATAAAAAAATTCTCCACCTTGGAATTTCCCACACCTGCATATCGTTTTCTATTTCACCAATAAATCATTAATTTCCTTCAAATTCGCAAGCTCTATATTAAACGATTTGTCTCCTTTCGTATTTGATACTGGATCCTTTTCAGAAAATTTAACAGAAGCATCAATATACTCACTTTTGAGTAATTAATCTTAACAATTAACATCAGAACCATGACGTTCAAACTCACATCCTCCATTTTAGATGTCGCAAAAAGGCGTAGAACACTAGAACTAGCTATAAGGCTAAAGATGAATAGGCCCAACATCAGAACTAATGAGTAAATGCGTTTACAACCTCTATAATTAATTATCTTCAAATTCGCACACTCTATAATACGACCAAACATTTGTGACAAATCCAACGATATCATATAAAATGTTTCTCTACATTCCTTATTTGAATTAACTTGCTAGTCTAATCCCATGAGAAGCATAAACTTTTGGATAACTATCATTTCGTCATTATCAAGAACTTAGTGATACCTAAATTACACACATGCGCTATATATTTTATGTTACAAACTTTCCTATTCAATTTGCTCCCGATTCCTGTATCTAAGCATATTCCATTTCATTCATGTTCAGAGCCCCCAATATCGAACAACTTCTTCAGAGTTACACCCGAAAAATTATCTAATTCCCCTCCATGAAATCCACCTTGCCACCGATGACTTTAGTCCAAACAGACTTATTGGGAGTGGTGGATTTAGTGTTGTCTACAAAGGCCAACTCTCTGAACCCTGGCATAACCACACTGCAGCCATCAAACGCCTCAGGTTGCAAAACTGTCAAGGAAAGAATGAGTTTCTCAAAGACTTTGAGTTAATTGCGGGATTCCACCATAAAAATATAATCTCTCTAATTGGTTACTGTGATGAAGGCAATGAGAACATTTTAATATATGAGTATGCTAAGTATGGGAGCCTTGATCATTATATTCACGACACAAATAAGATGCGCTGCATGACATGGACACAACGCCTACAAATTTGCATTGGTGCAGCAAGAGGGCTTAATCATCTTCACTCGGGTCTTGGGGACCACAAGAGAGTAATACATGGAGACGTGAAGAGTGATAACATATTGTTAGATGGCAATTTGGTCGCTAAAATTTGTGATTTTGGTTTCTCGAAATTGCGTTATAGAAATCAGCAACATACACAACTCATTACAAACGTTGAAGGTAACCAGTTTTACTTGGATCCTGTCTACATGGAAAGCGGCATCCTTGGAAAAGAATCAGACGTGTACTCGTTTGGCGTTGTCCTGTTTGAAATTCTCAGTGGGACGTTGGTTTATCGTGAATGCAGATTTGGAGATGATGAGCCAGAGTTTTTGATGAGTTTAGTTCGAAGATACTCTGGGAAACCAGAAAGGTTAATTGATCCTCATATACGAGAACAAATTGACAATCGTTCTTTTGATACGTTCAATGAAATAGCATATCAGTGCATTAGTTTCAAGTTAAAAGAACGCCCTACGATGGACAAGGTTGTTGAGAGGATCGAGGAAGCACTTGATATTCAAGTAAGCCTTTTTGTTTTTTGATGTAAATCAATCCTCGATCATTTTTAAGGGTGAAAGCTATCGTAGCTTTGGTCAAAGAAGATGATAAATTTCCCAAATCTTTTACGTGATGGGTATTATTTGGTTTAAAACAAAAATATTCTTTTGGCGTCAACAAGAAATTAAACTTTTTTGTTTTGGTGAAGGCTGAGTGGAAAAAAATTATTTTCTTGCTAAGATTACCTTGTTTTTGTTGATGTATTTAACAAGTGATTAATAGGTTTAACGAATAGCTACAGTTTATACTGATTGAGAAAGGTTTGATGAGTTTTAATTCAGATGGAGGAGAATGTTGCTGTTCTTTGTGAGTGTGTTGTGGTAGAAGTCGGATTCAGTTATGGCAAACCTGTTGCAGCTTACACCATATACAAATGCCTTCTCCATTGGAAAACTCTTGAAGATGAAAGAACCCCAGTATTTGATAAACTTATTCACAATATTCTTTCAGCAATTGAGGTAATTGATTTGAAGTTCAAAACAATGAACAAAATACGACGATCACTTAATTCATATCTACTTACTGTTAAAAATGTAAAAATTTATCTGATTACTTCAAGGATGGAGATAATAACAATCAAATGGCGTATTGGATATCAAATGCATCTACGTTGCTATTCTTAATCCACCAAAGTATAAGGAAGCGACCACTTCTAAGTAGGCCATATGGAAGATTTTCTATGGTATTAGACTATTAAACAGCCTACACATTTCAAATCTTAGTATTGATATTCATCTTCCATGATCCAGTTTTGTAATTAAAATATTCAGGGATCTCGTTCGTCTGATTCTTCTGGTGAAACTGATGAGATTGAGGATGAAGTACAAGAAGTTGAAGCCAAATACCCTGCTTTGCTTTTCAAGAAGAGGCTAATAGCATGTCTCAATAAAATGTATGACGTTATTCATAGCAACTTGAAGAAACAGTTGGGATCATTACTTGCCTTATGTATTCAGGTAGTTGAAAATTTATAACTAGATGTAAAACCCGTATGTTATATGGATGGACTAAAGAAAATAAAATATTAAAATATAAATAATAAGTATTTTTTAAATAAAATTTTGAAATAAAGAATGAAGAAATATATTCATTGCAGTTAATTATAATATTTATTACATTTGATACTTTACATATATAAGTATAAGATTATATCGTTTTTTAATTTTAAAAATTAAAAACACCATAAATTTACATTTGAATTTTATTTATTTAAAGTATATTACAAAATGACAACTGTAAAAAATCATTAGAGATTAACATGTGGTAAAAAAAAAAAAAAAAAAAAAAAAACTCATTTATTATACAGGATATCACCGTAGGTATTAGTGTAGCCATAGAAGTCATGGAACACATATTAATGTTTTTAATATAATTGTTAAAATTCAGGCTCCACCAGGATCAGAAGGAATGGGAATATCTAGATGCTCCTTTGGTAAACACCCTCACATCAATCCTTGGCAAGGCATTGTTGATTGCCTCAACAATCTTCTCAACACATTGAAAGAAAATTTTGTATGTGCATTATCTATGGCCTCATGTCTGTCCTATTCATGTTCGGATACCTATAAATGATACGCAGTTCTTGTTGTGAAAAAAATAAAATCAATAATTTATAAAAGATTGATATAATTATTCCACTTGTCACTCAAACTATACAAAGTGTGCCAAAATTTTGGCTATTGCATTAAAGTGGACTGCAATTGCTAAAGAAGATAAAATTTGCCAAATTTTTGATGCATTTCAGGTGCCTCAGAAAATTGTTCAGAAGATATTTACTCAAACTTTTTCATATATCAATCTGAAAATCTTCAATAGGTATTTTGCTACTCAAGCTTGGTTTTTTTTATGCCAGGGTCATTTTCTTCGTTTCCTGTAAAATAAAATATTTTCTTTTGTGTTTCTCTTTACTCTACAGTCTTCTTCTACGCCGGGAGAGTTGTTCCTTCAAAAATGGGGAATACATGAAATCCGGTTTAATAGAGTTAGAGATATGGTGTAGTCAGGCAGAGGATGAGGTACCCTATTTTCTAACCTTCCCATGTTGTGTATGAATATGCTTACATGCCACATCTTTCCATAGAAATGAATGTAGTTGCTCAGGTGCTCCGAATAATTAACGTACGGAACATCTATCAGGAGTGAATATTATTTAAGCATTAGAAATTTTACTTTTATAAAAAGATAAGAAAAAAAAAGTAAGAATAAAATATGTAATATCATCTTTTAGCAAAAACTAGCAAACTACCGAAAGCTCTTCACCACTAATCTAGAACATGAATTAACATACAACCTAGGATAGATAGAGCAAAAATGATAAACATCTAACCACAAATCAAGCCAAAACTAGTGTTTCCCCCTACAAGTAACAAGGAGACAATGGAGATGCATATGCTCGATAAGACCTTGTGAACACGATATAATTGAGTCAAATTAACACCAGCACGTTTACTTATGAAATTTGAATAGTCCATTAGAACTGTAAATCTCCCATAAGATTTGGCAAATTTGCATGGCCAAATACTACCTATGCCAAGATAACTGAGTAAGAACTTTTACAGTGCAATCCAAGTGACTATAACGACCTCACCTTCCATCAAGAAACCAATGCTCGTCCAACATCAATTATTTGTCAGACTTCATCCCAAAAAACCATTAATGTGAGAAGTAGGGGTGTAAGTGAGCCGAGCTACTCATGAGCTACTCGGGATCGACTCGTTAAAAGCTCGACTCGAGATCGAATTAAACGAGCCTGAGCCGAGCTCGAGCCTAAATATAAGGCTCGTTTATTAAATGAGCTCGAGCCGAGCTTCAATTAATGGGCTCGCGAGCCTAAACGAGCTTAAACAAGCCTCTCTCTCTCTCTCTATATATATATATATATATATATATATATATATATATATATATATATATATATATATAGACACACACACACACACACACATATATATATATATACACACACACACACATAGACGCTCGTTTAGGCTCGATTAGGCTCGCGAGCCCACTAAATTGTTCATGAGCCGAGCTCGAGCTTCATTTTAAGGTTCGAATCGAGCTCGAGCTCGAGCTCGAGCTTCCTTAAATTAAACGAGCCGAGCTCGTGCTTTGTCAGGCTCGGGCTCGGCTCGGCTCGTTTACACCCCTAGTGAGAAGCGACATTACCAGAAATAGTAGATCCCATTGCAAAGAAATTAACATATCCGGTAAGATAATAAACACCTCAGCAAACAATTCAACGACTTCACACACGGAGTAATAATGAAAACAAAAAACAAAGAATATAATATTTAACATGGTTCACACGATCAGAGAGATCGCTACGTCCACTAGTGAATATGAGAGAGAGAGAGAGAGAAAGATATTTTATTTATTACTGTCCGATTACAATTATGTTAGTCATGTCTTAATATAGCTTAGGTTTCAAGAAATCTGAAAATCCATTTGTAGGAGCATAGTGACCTAAAATATACCAATAAGTCTATGTCCCAAAACTGTGAAAAAATTTGGCCCATGGCTCATTTTTTTATCTCAAATTTAATAAAGGGCCCATCTTTAGTCTCTCTAGCCGCTCACGGGCGGATGCAAGATTTTACAGTATGCGGTGCACAGGAAAGTTAGGGGGTTGCACAACAGTATAAAAAATATAAATTTTAAAAAATATCGAAAAAAATTTCACGGCGGCCGGAAAAGTAAAGGTTGCCAGTGCCATAGGCGACCCCCCCCCCCCCCCCCTCAATCCGCCTAGGTTCAAAGGTTGAATCGGACTGCATAACATAGCACATCCTCCATCAACAAAATATTTGATTTCAATCTTATATTAACCATTTAACTTGCAAGTTGATAAACAAGGCATATACATAACTCTTATTTGATATCAAAGAAATGATGTGTAACATATTTACAACTCAAAACTCACCACACGGTTAGAATTATCTGAACAACTTACATTCAAACATAACTGTTAAGCGATATACATAGCTAATGTATCTAACTCAATACAAGAAATGTGACATTAACAAATTAGGAAGAAAGCTGAACATAGAAAGAATTAGTGTTTCTTTGTATGAATGTGGCAAAGGTTTCACAAGTGAAGATGAGAGAAAAACATAAAGAAGATATCAACATAATGAGCCCTCTCTAATACTTCGCGATATATACCTAGAAATTAGAAACGGGTTAACCTAAACTGGAAATGACCCTCGTATCCTTGTAACTTTGCAAAATATGATTTCCAGTCCTCAAACTTTAATCTTTATTCATTCGGCCCCTTAAACGTCATCATTAACAAAATTGACATTCCATCTTTATTTTATCCAATCTAAGCCCATTGACAGTAAACAAATTTACAAGATCTACTCTAAAACAAATTATCAACTTTAGTTGGTTACAAATTACACAAGTAACATATCACTATAAACTTTTCCAATACATAAAATTCTTCCTTACATAACTCTACTACGCATAGTTCTTACCATCTAGTTGGGTACTAAAAAAATGATATATATATATATATATATATATATATATATATATATATATATATATACTGTTGGGTTTTATTTAAAATCTAGTTTCAAAAAACTACAAATAATAGTAAATGAAAGACTTGGGTTTTATAAAATAACATAAACATTTTATCACCCACCAATAATCATTTTGCAAGTAAAGGAAAGATTTAAAACACAATAATAGAAAGAAAAAATGGTAACAAGCTTTGAAACACTTCCAGTCCTCTAGGGAGGCTTCAAAGTTGATAGAATGAGGATGATCCCTTGAGACACCAACAATGTGCCAACTTGATGTAATGCTAGCTACAACTCTTAAGCTTTTAAGCGAAAACAAGCTTATGACTTAAAGAGAGAATGCAAGCAACAAAATCTTAAAAGTTCAAGACTTTAGAGAGAAGATGAAGAAGAAGAAAGAGCACTTGGCCAAGGAAAGTAGAGTGAAGAATAATGAGAACACTCACCTCTTATTTATACTAGAATTATGGTCCAAGAATCATTAATCATTAAGTACTTTTAGACAACTTTGTCCCCTATGTCATGAACATTTCACCCTAGATTTGATTCTTTTACATTATACCAATGCAGAGGTCTTTTCTCTTCATCTCATGTTTCCAACTTTACATTAGACTTTAGATGTCTAACTCTCAACGAATAAGAGGAGCAGATCCCTTTTTGACTACATACGCATCTTGCATGGTTTACATCACGCCTGATAATAGCTTTGATAAGTGCCTAACAAAAGAACGGCTTTTCACTACATCAAAGCATAACATTCCCCACACTCAAGCAAATATATATATATATATATATATATATATATATATATATATATATATATATATATATATATATATATATCAGGTGTTAAGGATATACATATATTACCTTTTATCAAGTACCATTCCTAACAGTGATCGATGAAGTGATCTTAAACAGGTCACTTCAATACGTACTCTCTAGTAAGTACGTATGAAACTTGTTACAATGCTTTGTCAACCATCCTATTTCATATTAGTCTTATTTCATTATTACTTGCACTATAGCAACTGACTATGGTGTTTTTAGAGTGAATAATTTCACTTAAGGATTAAACATATTAATAAAGAACACAATAAATGTTTAATGAAAATATCATATATCATATATATCATAGTCATTACAATAGGTGATGTTATATAATGTCCCGATATTCAATACTAATACATAGATCAAATCCAATCACTAGAATAGCAAAATCCTATTCCTCAAGCATGTCCCTAAAATTTTGGTTGAAGAAGAGGCTTCGTGAAAGGGTCTGCCAAATTTTGGTCAACGTGAACTTTGCGAATACTAATTTAACCTTCTTCAACTTCATACCGGATGAAGTTGAATATACAGCTAATATGTTTGGCCTTGTTGTGTGCTCGGGGTTCTTTTGCCAAGGATAGTTATCTCTTTGTCTTCAACAACCACTTGTTCCGTACTAATGCTAATTAAGGATGCATCGAGTTGAGGTTCTTGATATTCTTCAAGTTCCATATGCCTCCCACTTGCCTCATCCATTAGAAACTTGCTTTCTAAGAATTCAACCTTTCGTGAAATAAAGATCTTATTCTCACTAGAGATGTAGAAGTAATATCCTAAACAATCTTTAGCATATCCTACAAAGATGCATTCGGTAGACCTAGGCTCAAGTTTTATGGAAGTCTCTTGTCTAACATAAGTTTCGCATCCCCAAACTTTCATATAAGATGAGGATGGAGGTCTTCCATACCACATCTCATAAGGTGCTTTCTCTACCTTCTTAGTTGGTACTATATTCAAGATATGGGCTACGGTGAGTAAAGCATAACTCTAAAAAGGTAAAGGAAGGGTACTTCGACTCATTATAGATCGAACCATATTAAGTAAGGTCCGATTTCTCCACTCAGAAACACCATTAATTTATGGTGTTCTAGGCTGAGTGAGTTGTGAGATAATCCAACGACTCCTTAGATGGTCTTGGAACTCTTAGCTCAAGTACTCGCCTCCTCTATCTGAACGAAGGACTTGAATTGTTTTGTCGAGTTGATTTTTAACTTCACTTTGAAACAATTTAAACTTTTCAAATGCTTCATGTTTATGTTTCATCAAATACACATAACCAAAATGATTGAAGTCATCAGTGAAGGTGATATAATATCTCTTACCATATCTAGACATTGTTTTAAAAGGTCCACATACATCGGTGTGTATAATTCCTAAGAAAACACTTTCCTTTTCACTTTTTCCAAAGAAAGGGGATTTTCTCATTTTGCCACATAAACAAGATTCACATATGTCAAATAACTCAGTGTCATTTTCACCCAAAAGTCCACTCTTTGGGAATTGATATATGCATTTCTTGTTTATATGTCCAAGGCGACAATTCCATAGATATGTTTTTCTTTAAATCTGGTTTAATCCTTTTGGTGTTAACATGATAAATGGACTTATTGTTTGAGGTGTTATCTAGGTTTAGTTCATAATTCCATTTATTGGTC